CGCTGCTGCTATCCTCATCGCTACTGTCGTCGTCGGCCATGCCGGACGAGGAAGACGAACGAGGACTCAGCTGCTCAGGCCCTAGCGAAGGTCGATAACTGAATTGATGGCCATCGCCAACTGGCCTAATGTTAGGATCCGAGTCCAAGGGCTGGAAGTAATCGTGAAAGTCAGGTTGGCGCCTTGGTTTTAGACTGGTTTTGCGAGAGAAAGGCGGCGACGTGGTGGGTGTCTCTGGAGGCGAGTTTGGGTCGGCGGTGAGAGGCTCATCCTGGGTTTGTACTTGAGCTTGAAATTGAGCGACGTTGAGGTTTGGCGTCTCGGGGCGCCGCCGAAGGTTGCTGCTCTTTTTCGGCGGCATGGCTGATATGGTGTACATACAAGACCTTGGGATTGAGGTCTAGTGAGAAACGTATATGTGATATGGGACAAGGCAGAACCCAATTGAGCCAAAACAATCTGTGTTCGACCAATCGATAGGGAAACCGTCTGAGCCCGGATCTGAAGTCTTGGGTAAAACTGTCAACACGGCAAGTCGAATCGATTTTGGAAGATATCTTATCGATCGACGTCGAGCCAAGTATGTATTGGACAGGTGATTTGGTAGGCGTTGATGTGGGGTAAAAGAAACGGATTGAAGCGAGCCGATCCGGAAGTAAAGAGAGTGAAGATGAGGATGTTCTTGGATCCGGCGGTAAGATTGGTGTGATGGTGGTGTCGGTCAAGACGACAATGCAATGTCTTGACTGGGAGCGAAGAAAGGAGAGGATAAGAGAGAAGAGAGAGAGAAAAAAATGTAACTGTCGACTACTGCAAGCAAGACAATGCAGACCCAGGCAAGGTATGCAGCGAATAGTGCTGGTTTGGGGCGTGGGTGAGAACGTGGGTGAGAACGTGGGTGTGAGCGAGAGCTAGAGCTAGAGCCAGAGCCAGAGCTCGAACGTGGGTGTGGTTGTGTTATGCAACAGTGGGTTAGGTAGCCAGACAAGACAAGGTAGAGATGGGATCCAGTACTACGCGGGGCTGCCAGCAGAGCATAAGAGGATGCAATGCACCCAAGTGGTCAAAGGCGGGAGTGAGAGGGGAACGTAGATGGAGTCGATTGGGCCCCTAGGTCAAGTTTGCCTTTGATACGGTGGGGGATTTGGCGATATGCCTCCCTTCTAGGGCCCTCGATAGTGTAGTGTAGGTAGCACAAATGATGATGCCAGCACTGACCCTGCGTTCAGGAAGATCAATTGGCTCGATCAGGGGAAGTCGGAAACAAGAATAGAAGGCTCAAGGAACCCCAAAAGAAGAAGCGGAGGTGAAGACGAGGCGTGGGACAGAACAAGCCAAGGCCTGATCTGTTCGCTGGGAGTAGTCCCGTCAGGTTCAGGTCTTCGCTTGGTTCAACTTTGGGCCTCAACCCAGTCTATACCGATATTTGAGTTGAACAGCTAGTAGCGGACGGTAATAATACGTAGTAGTAGCGGAAATGTTTGAGGCGATGAAATCAATCAATCAATCAATGCGATTGTCGTCAACGATAAAATGATAACGATAGCGATAGTCAGGGAGTCAGTACCCAAAGCAGAAACCTCCAACACGGAGAAGATGATATGCGACTTGTGTTTGGGGTCATGATAAGTCTTTGTTGTAAAAGATGACAGGATATGTCCTGGAAGAGGGACAGAGAGCAGATAAAAGAAGTCTCGGGGAGATCTTCTCGGTCCGCTTATCGCAATATGGATTGAATTGTTGATTCAGTCAGTTGCAGGCCCCTACCGCGATAGCCCAGGCGAGCGATGTGGGCAGTCAAGGCTCTGTCCTGTCTGTGCAGTAGAAGAATCTCACCGTCGAGATTAGTATAGCGCTGATTATCAATCCTGTTTCTGGTTTGCCTTTCACTTGGAACAAAACGTTTCAAGGAAGATGACAAAAAGAAAAAAGAAAATGAGGGAAAATAAGAGAATAAGGAGGAAGGCGAGAAAGGAAGAAGAAAAGAGTCGGGAGGGGCAAAGATAAAAATAAAAAATAAAATAAAATAAAATAAAAACAAAAAGTAAGGTGCAGTCCAGCCCAGATGCAATGCAAGTGAGATGGATGAATGGGCAGGAGTGAGGAGGGGTCAAACGTCAAACGAGGTTACTAGGCCGTGCTGCGCTGAATGATTGCTAACCGACTGCTAATGGAACTGAGATGATGACCAAATGCACAACAGAAAGGAACGACTCTCGATCTATGTCACAAAATGGTACCAGTCTGGTACCGGACAGTACAGCGATGATCGGGCAACCTCACATGTAAGTCGAGCCAGGGCCGATCAGCGGCAGACCAGACGATGTGCCGAGTCGAATGACGAGTTATAGGATGAACGGCAGATCAACAACTGAATAAATTAGTATGAGGCTAGCTAAACTGAACAGTAGAGACCTGCTGGCCTTGGTTCGTCCAAATTAGCCAGCAACAAGGGCAGCCCTGGCATACAAGCCTCAACCGCGGGACAGTCTGCGCTGGTCTAGCACAATAGCGGGTTGAAGTTGACGATCTTCTCTGGAGAAGCGGCCCTTTTTCGTTTGTGCGCAAAAGGACAAAGCAATACTGGACTGTAGTATGCGTAACGGGGCCGGGTCCGGACTCGGATCGGATCTGTATAGAAAATTGAAGAGGTTGGGCTGCCGGCCTGTCTTCAATCGAGCGGGATGAATATCAATGCTTAATTGGTGAAGCCTTAGTGGCCCAGGTAAGATCGTGCGCCGCAGAGATGTTTCTTGGCTTAGATCTGACCGTCTTACACTGGCTGTGTATGTCTGTATCTGTCTGTCAGATGAGAAACCACACACAGACTTGATTTCCAAGCTTTTGCGTTGTTGAGGCTCCGGGTAAAACGAAAGGCGAGAATGTCACTCTCGGGTGTTGCAAGATGCCCCGAGAGGTAAAATCACTGTGCTTATAAACTAGAATTATACGTTTCTGTTCTCACGTAGACTCTGGTTCAGGTTTATGCAGTTGCCTTTTTGTTCTTTCCTGCACACTGGGGTGCATTCATTGGTGTATATCCAGTTGGGGGCCAAAGCGCAAGCGTTGGATTGACAGATGTGTAAGTTTAAGTAATCAACATGAAATCAACAAGTTAGAAGAGACTCGATTGTTGTAGAATATATCGAGTGATGAAGATCTTGATGAGCCCGTGGCCATATTCAGCTAAAGTTGGATACACTGCTTATACATGTCGCACACGACCGACGGCAACTTACCTTAGCCTGCCTTGGCTGTGGAACAGTCTAGTTGATGCATTTCACGAACATTGTACTGTAGACACCTGGAGATTATAGTGTTGTAGTAGTTATGATCCAAAAACTTAGACACAAGGAACGGCCCGCACTATCCATTTCCGCCTATTGAATATTCATGTGAAAGTCAAAGAGAAGGAATCGATCTTCGCCGAGTCGAATCGAGTCGAGTCGAGTCGAGTCCAGCCCTGCACAGTCTAAGTCTAGCCCTGCACAACTAGCGTCGGGTCTCTGCCAACACAGAACAACCTTGAAATGGAAGTTGGATAGTACACCAGAAGAGTCTTTACCGAGTAGAAACACATTTTTCCTGAATCCCTGTACAAGAATTGGATCCGAAAAACATTGAATGAAACAAGTCGTCCCCAAACCGAGTGTGAATATCGCGTTCAAGCCTGACGGGACTGAATTAAAAGAGCATCGCTTCTTCTAAGCGCCGTCGTGGACCAACAGGACAAGGGGCATCACCGACACGGCACGACTTGGGCAGCAATGCTCAAGAGGTCCAAGTTAGGGTCTCTTTGATCTAATCCACAACGAACCGGCTCTGGCCAGGAAAAAAAATTCTGACAAGGGACTGCTTGTGTTGGTTGATAGGAACCATGGATTGTTGAGGCTTTTGACACGTTAGTGTGACTCTTACATAGTGCCTACCTTTAATTCTCTCAAGTGAACGGCCATGTCCAGTTTGGCCACGACGAATACCATGACATTTCTGATGAAAAAGCGATAATAAGACGGTTGGTTTAGGATAATTCATCCAATATCAGGCTCTATCTTTCTGGCCTCGGAATGCAAACGCTGATGAGCTGGCAAACATAAAACGCGAATAAGAGACTCGATGCTACACTCAACTTGCATTCACGCAAATGCTCAAAAGCAGAATGAATTTTGGGCATGAAGTGAGAAACGTACGATACATACTGGATAAATACCAAGGTACATGCTTACCTATTTCGCTCATGATGCGAGGTACTTCTAGGATCTTAAAGGTACCAGCACCGATACCCATTGTTCGGTACCGAGACGCTGCTCGAGGGGGCCTACCATCGTCATGACGCATCCGCGAATTTTGTCTCTGCGAGAAATTGGATCCTCCGAGTTTTGTCCTGCAGAGTTTGACGAAACTGGATTGAGAGTCCAGAGCGTGCCTATCGCAAGAGCACACGTCTGATGGCATCATCGTGTAGCATTGGTGGTAGTCAACCGTCCCAATGAGTGGCATGGTATGCTCATCGTACAGAGAGGCTAAACTTTCGCTTATCGTTTTGACGTTTTGTAGCTGAGACAGCCCGATGAATCGGGACTGTCAAGACAAAGGGTCATGACTGTCGTGTGCGACTTTCTTGGTTTAGACCACTGGCCTGTGTATCTGACGACGCTGTGAATGATGACACTTTAAAAAACCCCTTCATGAGGACAATATGAAAACATCTCTATCCAAAAGCTATTATAGAAAATTTGAAACGATATGCTAAGCAATTGAAGGGTTTGAATTGCGTTTAAACTCAATTTAACCCTAAATTTGTATCATGATGATGAAGGAGGCGTAGAATGACAGTCCAGTCCGTGATAAACCACTTCCCGGACCTTAGGCGGAGACAAGGACGGGACTGCCCCGCAACCCCATCTCAACGCCCCGAGCCGCTGAAACTCAAACTCAGTTAATTGGTGGGCGACAAAGTCAACAAAACAAATCGTTTCCTTGCACATCTACAACCCACAATGGTAAGTGAAAGCAACAATACATGTCTCTAAAAGCTCAAAATAACCAACAGTCATTTCTTATTAGTCTTCGGACCCAAAACCACAAGCGCGCAAGCGTGGTCGGCCCGCAAACGCGTCCAAATCTCCCACCAACAGCGCGTCACAAGATCGTCCCGACGAGTACGAGGCCGATAACGAAGAACCTGTGCTACCGAAGCAACGAGGGCGACCAAAGAAATTAGCGCAAGAGGATGCAACAGAAGAGACAGTAGCTCAGGAAGGTAAACCTCGAAAGAAGCGCGGCCGACCATCTCTAGAAGATAAGAATACGGAAAAGACAATAGAAGATGCGCCACGACGGAAGAAAAAACGCGGTCGGCCCTCGCTTGAGAGAAATCAGGAGGAACAGGAACCAGAGCCCGAAGCAGTGGTGGATGAGGTGCCGCAGAAACGAAAGCGCGGTCGTCCTTCGCTCGGAAAGAACAAAAATAACGATGCGCCTGAGCCTGAGCCTGAACAGGAAGGTGTAGAGGAAGAGGCGCAAGCGAAGAAAAAGCGCAGCCGTGCTAAGAAGAACCAAGAGATTGAAGGACCGGAGCAGCAGGCAGCAGAGAACGAAAAGCAACCGAAGAGAAAACGCGGCCGACCCTCGCGCGAAAAGGATCAGAACGATAAAGAGCCTGAGCAAGAAGTGGCAGAAAGTTCTGAGAAGCCACGGCGCAAGAAAAAGACAAAGGGAGACCAAGCAGAACAGCCAGACGAGCAGCAAGAAGAGGAACCTGAACCAGAGCCCGAAGAAGCTCAACCAGCTCATCGCAAAAAGCGCCAACGCAAAGCGCCAGAGCCGGAACCCGAGGAACAAGACCCAGAGGAAGAGGAACATCAGGTCACACGGAGCCCACGAAACTCCCTGGACAATGGCAGGGGAGATGTGAATAAGAAGAGGCGCAAGGCGGATAAGTCCAAGAAGACGGCCCGCGCATCGCAAGGAAACGCAGAGGATCAGCAGCCCGATGAAACTACCAAGCGCGGACGACAAAGAGGGAGGAAGCCGCCAGCTAAAGAGGCCGACGAACCTGAACCAGAACAAGAACAAGAACAAGAACAAGGACAAGACAGCAAGAAGAAGAAGAAGAAGCGCCAGAACAAGAATGACGCGCCCTCCGATTCGGATGAATCCCTTCCCTCCCCACCAAAACCGTATCTTCACATCGCCCCTTTCAAGCGCACCATTCGCTCCTCCCATATCGCCGCAAAGTGGTCTCCCCTAACTGGATCATCACTCCCTGCAGCAACATCCATCCTTACACTCGCCCAGCGACCCATCCTGCAGCGAACAGCTACCACCCGCAACCGACGTGACCATGCGACCGCGGCCCTGAACCTCGTTTCCCGCCGTATAGAGCGCAAACTCGACCGTGGTGTCCCCTTCCCACCAGCGTCATCAGCGACGAGTACTCGGCGCCGCGCAGATGCAGACGGGGGTCGCGCAATGGAGCTTGATTTCGAAGCAGTGCTTGACGGGAAACAGGCGTTGGAGAGACAGCTCCACCCTGGAAAGCATGCGGTGGAGTTGTTGAAGGCCGAAAGGGATAGAATGGAAAAGGAGCTTGAGGATGACTATGAGGTGTTGAGAGGCTTAGAGGCAAATGCGAGAGCGCAGACGAGAGAGCGCAAGGATCTGTTCCGGAAAGCGCATGTTCTGGCACCAACCTCACCACCTAAGAATCAGGGCCATGGTACACAATTCGTGGCCAACAAAGATGAGGAGAGCCTCAAAGTAAGTTCACCATCATCTTTACGTTCTACGCCTTCAAGTGAGATCTAACACCCAATAGGAATTACTCGATACATCCCTCGAACCTCTTGCTCTTCAACTCGCCGGCCACGTTGATAGCATCCGTGGAAACTTTCAGCAGGCTGAGGGTGTCACGCCGCAACTCAACCGTACAAAGGCAGCGTTACAAGACGTGTTGCAGCAATATTTGGACAGCGATATGTATGAGCAGGTCCTCCTTGGATAAGTGCTCTATTTACGATACGATGTGATGAATTAGGATGTTTGCATTACAAATAGAAGTAAGGCGTTTGGGGATTCGGTTTTGAATGGGTTTGCGTTGCAACTAACAACGCTTTGCCGAGCGACTGTGTTGGAAATACAAATGAAAGATACCTATGAGCAGGAGAAAGCTTTACACACTACTTGTAAGTTGGTTATGGAATATATCCAATGGTCACATTACAGAAGAGTTATGTACACCAAGCACATCTTCTATTACAAAGTATATATACACAGTGAAGGAAAGATATACATATAGACAAACAAAATCAAAGAGACAGGGAGCAGGCTATAAAACCTCGGCCCCAGATATATAAAACACGAGCCAAGTTTATCTATCAAGCAACCCTATCCAGGCTTCAAGTTAACAGATAACATGATACATATTGAAAGAGTATTTGTTTTGTCGACAAGATAAGACAAAGTTCATGATTCTCATTGAATTGTTTTGATAAAAGGAAGCAAGCAAAAAATAGATTGTCATACATCCAGAAGAATAGTGTAAGCCTATCCAAAGGAGCCCTTCCTTCACTAGATGCCTAACCAAGAAGTAACCAAGTGGTGATTAATGTACTGACAAGACTTCATATACATGGGAGTTGTCCGTGGACATTTAACGGAGACGGCGAGAGAAGCCAGTGGGCTTGGCGTAGCCACCGGTAGCAGTGCCGTTAACGGGGTAAGGGACGACAGTGACGGTAGCGTCGAGGGTGGTGGTGGTGTCGCAGATCTCATCCTCGGCGGAGTCGTCCTCATCATCATCCTCAGAGTCATCACCCTCAACAGCCTTGCCAGTGACAGTAGCGTCATCAGCACCGTTGGTCTTGGCAGCCTCAGGGACAACAGTAACATAGACAGTGGAGGCAGGAGCGGTGACGGTGACAGTCTCAGGGACACACTCACCGTTGCCGTTACCACCATTGTTGGAGCCGGAGCCGGAGCCACCGTTGTTGGAGCTGTTACCGTTACCGTTGCCGGTACCCTTGGAGCCATCGTCCTCACCCTCACCCTTACCAGTGCTGTAGCCGTTGTCACCACCGGTAGCGGGGCCGGTCTCATCAACACGCTGGATGGTCTTGGTGATGGTGCCAGTAGTGGTCTTGGTGGTGGTGGTGGTGGTGTCATCCTCAGGGGTACCGTTGCCCTTGGAGCCGTCGTTGGTGACCTCAGGGCCAGCAGGGACGGTCAGAGTCTTCTGGATGGTCTTGTGGATGGTGGTGGTGATAGTCTCCTCACCCTGGGTAAGAGTAACAACCTGATCAGTGGTGTAGTCGGAGACAATAGTCTTCTCGGTGGGAGGGGGGTAAGCACCGCCAGTGTTCATGGGAACCTCAGCAGTGATGGTCTTGCCAGTAACACCACCAGTCTCGGCATCGTGAAGGACGGAGGTGTAGATGGAGCTGGCCTCAGAGACGGGACAGACAACCTCAGTGAGGATGACGGTGTGGGTCGCAGTGAGGGTGGTCTTGTCGGACTCAGGGAGCTGAGCAATGGCAGTCTGGTCACGGCTGGGGCAGTTGGTGACGGTGGGGGCGCAGCTAGTGATGGTCTCGACGACGGTGGTCTTGACGGTCAGAGTGGTCTGAGAGTCGGTTCCGTTGTAGTCTCGGCGGTAGTGGGCGTGCTGGGGGAACTGGTAGGCGTTGGCCACGGCGGCGATCATGCCGATGCTAGCGACGACGGACTTCATTTTGAAGGTTGGGTATGTAGGTTTTTTGCGGTAGCTTCAGTTTTGTCTATGACAACGTAGATACGATGTAATGGCTGTAGAAATCGATTCCACAGTTCAGGTAGCAAGCAAGACACAGTTTTGCTTCACTAAAGAAAGTATTCAAGTTGAAACGCGAGAAAACGCAAGTTGCTGTAGAGCTGGAATGATCGTAATGGCAAAGCCGAAAATGAATGTAATAGTCACAATTGAGACTGAACGAGTGTGTAGTTGAGATAGACAAGACTGAGAGGCAAGAACAATGTCGAGGCAGGATGCGGTAGATATTAAGAGAATCTGGAGTCGGGGGCAGTAGTACAAACTGGGCTGGAAGCGCCTCTTTTTAGCTCTTTGCATCTTTGCAGGGAAAGGAAGCGAATGCAACCTCAAAACGACGGACTGCCAAGATGCTTCGAGCATGGGTGGTGTTGTGGTCCACTGAGAAGCCCCTTGGATATTGGAGACGTGCTAGGGTATGGCATCTAGAGCTTGGTCCTTGGTCCTTGCTTGGGATGAAAGAGGACCGTACCCGCTGAGTACACTCAAGAACCATGCCCGGGTCTTCCATCTCCGCAGCTGGAGGAGAAGTGTAAGCACAAGCGTCTTGTGCGGCCACTGACCGAGCATGTGTGTTACTACAAGAGTATTAGCTGAAGCGTTGGCGTTTACACGACAACTGACTAGGCAATGAGCCAGTGTCAGTGCGAAGAGGGCGCAAGTGAGTCAACAAGGCAAAGCGTTAATAGCTCATATTTTCTTAGTGAGGAGGCATCCTCATCCTCATCTGCATCCCTCAATCCTGCTTGGCGGCCTCGTCGGTTGCTGCGGCGTTGATGTTGTCGAGATGGACAAGGATGTGATTTGATTGGAGATGTTGAAAGACCAACGGTTGGAGAAGAACGAGGTTCAGAAGCCGGTGGGGCGTCGTGGCGCTTGCCTCAAACGGCATGGTTCAGGGGCGCGGTAGAGTCTTCGGAGACGGGCTACCGGGGTGTGTGGCCAGGGGTTTAGAGCTAAAGAAGCACATTTTTGGTGAGCGAGCACCCTGCAATTTAGCAATGCCATTGCGACTCAGGTTGAGGCAGGACAGGGCAATTGATTGCATTTTGATGATTGTTCATGCTATATCAGAAAAGTGGCAAGGATATTATTTGGTGTTGAGTGACTCCCTTTCAAAAAGCAGTTATGTTTGATATTATTCCAACTTGATACGTAAACATAAGAATTATGTTTCAAGCAAAGAGTTGTTCCCTTCCCTTTTATTCTTTCAATCCTTCCATGCCCTAGCGCCCACCACGTCACTTTTTTATGCAGGTACCGTGCAGAGCCTGAGACACCATGCGGACCAATTAAACTCTCAGTCCTTAGGCACGACCCTCCCGAGACTTTTGCTGTTCTGGCGTACGCCACCTGAAATTGCCTCTACGAATGAAATGAGGACAACCTCAAGTCTGGGTGATGAAATATTTCGGTGAGCGCTTGTTTGTCGCACTGCATCCCCGCGGCCTCTATTACTCTCTTGGAGACGGACTGGCTTATACTAAGCCACTTACCCCTATAGTGTGCGGTGAGCATCCCCCAGATCAGTTAATTTCAGCCTTGTGTGTCCTAATCAACATCTGGTGCTCCTTCCTGTTGTATTCCGCGCTTGTCAACACAACTGAAATCTCCGATGGGATCGGCATGCTTCGTAGTGCGCATGGAGTACGTACATATTATTGCAACTCAAACTTGGACTATGGCGAGGTAGCAGACTAGCAGAGATTCCCGAATCTTGTTATCAGCCATCGTTTTGTCAGTCCTGACTCCCATGTCATACTAGCAAAGACGGTGACCAAGCATTGCATGCATTCAAAAAAGGAGGCCATTTCGCTCAATCTCACCTCTGCCAAGCCCAGCTCGCCGAGACTAGAATGACCCAACAAGTCAGAAATCACTCAAGTCAGACATTCTCTTACAAGTCAATAACTGACTCCCTGCAGTGACCTTCGGCTCGGGCTCTCTCAGGCAGGTTCCATAAAATCCTGCCCTACATACAAGAAACAAAAAAGAGGAACAAGTAAAAATTCCATTCCCTTGCATACTTGACCGCAATTTGACCAAATAAGAGAATAAGAGAACCCACCCACTCATATGGAGTGAACGATCTGTTATTCCATGCCAAGCAGTTCCTCGGTTCTACTCCATAGAATGACTCAGATCATTCCCTTTAGCACTTCCTCTGTAAGCTGAACCACGGTCAGAATCTTAGAGTTGAGATGGCTGTCATCTAAGAAAGTTTACTTAGCCTCCTCGGCATAAGCAAAAGTCTGTGGCAGTAGAAAGACGTGCACTAGTGGCTACATCGTAAAAGACGGGATGTGATGCATGGTGGTTGCAAAATGATCATGACAATGCTGATCTTCAGGAACACGGGTTAAGAATTGACCAGCCAGATTAATCACCGAAGACTGTCGATTGCCCAACTGGGTAATTAGGAGGGGACAGGAGCACGTAGTCTAACGGGCGCCCACAGACAAGAGCCTCTTGGTTCTTTGGCGGTGTTGATCTTTCTTGTTCCTGTTCCCTTGTATGAGCAAATTTTGCATCTTCATGCAGGTACCGATCCACAAGTCACAATAATCCCTCTTTCACAACATCAGTACGACATATTCAAAGTCACTATCCGTATCTGACACGGACATACATATTTTATGTATGTGCCATGTTCGCTTCTCGTATACTTTTACTTCGTGTTTCATCCCAAAGCCACGCGCGGTCAGTCCATAAGGTTATCCGTACTTATAACATCCATGTCATCTTATCGTTTCAGCAAACTTCCATGGTCCCTGCCCGTCTTCCATGTCGCAGAATAACAAGTTCCAACTCTTATTCCTCGCTCATACGGAGTACGTACCCTCCAGCAATGGTCTATCTCACTTCTCGGCTCCACCGGTCAACCTTGATGCATTATATGGTACGACAACAAGGTTACTAATTCTTCCCGAGCTTTGAAAAGGCTTCTTCTACTCTATCGAAAACGCACCAAACAAGGGTTTAAAGTTCTCTTATATGAGAGGGAACCTACTTCCGAAATTGTTGATTGTTTGCTTGATTAACGTATCGTCTCATCTCGGTAATCAATTACTCTGACCTTGGCGGATACTCGACCAACCAAATTTCTCAACATGCCTCGGTCAGATTGACTCTACGAATCGAATCGAATCTCGTCAACACGGTCGCATTAATGCTCTGCGGCTCTTGAATATAATTCAGCTTCCAAGCCTGGTCACCTTAGATCTTGCCTATATCCCATGCCCATGGCATACATCCTGGGAGCTGCAGAAAATCTTACATGGTCTCACAGTCCACAGTCTAGATGCTGCGCCCTGTTATGTTCCCATCAGGTAGGCACCGAAATTGTCAATCATTTGCCGTACTCGGATAGTGTGGATATCCCCTTGGTCTCGATCTCATCCTCTCTCATTCCACTTCTTCGATCCTTGGCCGAGGCTTTCCAGACCCATCGACCAGAGTTCCGCTCGGGTTCACATGAAGGCCTGCGAGTTTTGTAAGGCCTGGAGGGTTGCTCTGGTCTTGCGCAGGTAGCATGCTTGTCATCTGCCAGTTCTCGAGACTCTCAACCACATCGTTCGCATGTTGTTGCACCAGCCCATCGTTATCCGTTTGGGCCACATACCGCAAGGTTCTAACGATATCTTCTCGACTATCGTCGGTAAGACCAAAGCCGAGTTTGCGGCTGGACTCCTTGGCTGCGTCAAGTGCCCTGACAAAACTCAACACGTTTAGAATTGCGGCTCTTCGTAAGATCGCCGTCTCCGTCTCTCTTTCCATGGCCAGGATGTTGATACAAAGATCAACACTTCCGGATACAAGCGTTGGGCCAATACCACCAATATTGGTTTCAAGTGCAGCGCCGAAGATAGAGAGTGCCGAGGTGCGAATTCGAACATCTTCGGTACCGCGCTTACTCTCCCATCCTTTGAGAATCTGTGCCAATATATCATTCCTGGCCTTGTCCTCTTCTGTTACTTCCTCGTCGACGTTTATGTCATCGTCGTCTTCATCTTCATCATATTTCTTCTTCTTCGTCATCTTCTGTCGCTTCTCGTCACGAGCCTGCTTTGCCATAGTCTTTGGTCGATATCCACGCCGTCCGGCGATTGATAACAGTGTTTCGCTAACTTGCTGGGCAGCATCACCAGAAAAGGTCTCTCCTAATCTCTGAATAACCTGTAACAAGGCCTCGCCAAAGCGCAACCTGACATCCGTCGTAGACTTTTCTTGTGCATCCAGGTAGTGGTCCAGGAGTTCTTGCACAGCAGACTTTGGGTGCTTGTTTGCCAGCTGCGTGTATACCTTAATGACTCGTAGGTTTATGTAGTCATCATTGTTCTCAAGCAGAGTCGACAATAGGACAGCGACAGCTGGAATATCGAGTATTGGGCTGTCTCTCAGTATGAGACCAGAAAGTAGATTCAACCCTTCCGAAACGATAGGAGCCGGATTATCATCACCTCCAGTAACATATTCCATCGCCAGTTTGTATGTTCGTTGGTCTTCGATCTGCCTAGCACTGGGAATCGAAGCCGATCCCTCGTCTTCCTCCATCTCATCTCGATACTTCAGAAGTAAGGCTAAATTTCTTGCCGTTGGTGTTATTTGTGGTCTGTCTTCGTTGCTCAACCTTTCCAGGGCAGATTCAACAACCTTGAGCTCCTCTGGTTTGATATGGGACTTTTGGAACGTCGGTGCTGTGATGACGAGATTGAGTAAGCTCAGCACAACCGCAAGGAGGTCATCTGCTAATCTCGATTGGTTGTCTGCTGTGAGAACCTGACAGACCAGTTCCAGTAACTGGTCGAATTGACTCACGAGCTTCTCAGGTGCCTTGTCCATAAGCTTCTGTAGAACAGTCACTTCAAACAGGGTTTGAAGAGGCGAGTCCAATTTCTCGTCCTTAGGACGAACATCTATCTTGATAACTTCGATTTGTTTACCTGCCGCTTCAATCCAGCGCTTCAGTAAATCTAAGAAGATGGACGACACTTCTGTAACAGAGCAAGCAGTCGTGACGAATTCAACAAGCTTCGCTGCCTTACCTTCGAGTTCGTTCCAGTTCAACTCAATGCCGGTTGCAGACTCGGTCCCACGGGGTTCCACAACTTCGATATCGCCGTTTCCCCGAAGTCGGTATTCCCAGTGCTTTTCTGCTCCATCCACAGCACCCTTGCAGAGAAGGTTCCGTATGAAAGGCTTGACACTTTCGGCATTCCCAAAAAGTCTCAGATACGCCTGGAGTAGTGCGCGGGCAGGCTTGACGAAGTTCTCTTCAGTGCTCTGCAATGGATTATTCCATGAAGCAAGTACCCATACTTGGATCAATACAAGTCGCAGAAGACGTCTGCACAGCCCAGGCGAAGAGTTAGATATCACCAAGGTTTTGAGGCGCTGAAGCGATGTCTTGAGGCAGTGAGATGCGATGAGGACACGGTCTCGGCTGAGATCAAGAATTTCTTCATCTTCTTGCTTGATGCCTGTGGATCCAGAGTTTGACCGCAGTGATGGGTTCAAGTCCTGTACTATCGGCTGAACAAAGGCATTCCACCCAGGTGAGCCAGGTGCACCATATTGCTTGTTCCCGAGGATGCCATAACCCACAACCTGCGAGGCAGTCTTGGCCAATTCAGTTCCATCAGTTCCATCAATGAGTTCGAACATTTGTCTTGAGATGCCGTCAAACCACGCCTGCGATGTTAAGCTAGCTGGAACTGAAGATAGGAGTTTTGTCGCAACGGCAACGCCTTCATGTGTGATACTGGCTCCCTGTTTCTGAGGTCCAGAATCAGCATCCGGAATCCTGCCTATGTTGCTGGGATGAACTGAGAAGACAAATTCCATGGTTCCTCTTACGCCGCCTGGGCGAAGAGGGAGGAGAGTGAGTGTCCGGAGCACTGGGTCCCGTAGCCATGGAGGAAGAATTGACGGTTTTATTAGTGCATTGAGAGCAGGGAGAAGCTTCCATATTGGTGTGCTTTGAAATGTCAGTCTTGTGTCGAGATGAAAGAGTAGAGGAAGACGTGAAGATTCCAGATTGCTGCGTACCTTTCGATGAGTTTGTCATACCCTTCAACGCCCTTTTCCCTTTCTGTAGCAGCCGGATCAAATGCTTTCTTACCAGCTTCGACTATGTCTTCTATTATTTTAGGTTGCGCGCCCGCAGATGGAGTGGATGATGATGAGCTCGCCATGTTGTATAGTTTCTTGAAAGGATAAAACTTGCTATAGGGTGTTTGTCATCACAATGACCCGCTGTGCCTTCATGTGCGCTAAGCACTGTAACACACTATCCCTGCCAAACCACCACTTCTGCTATTTTATGGGCAGACGGGAGACAGGGGACTGCTTACAGCCGTAGACTGCCCACTACCTACCTACCTAGGTAAGTAGGGAATTGCAATTTCATTTGAGTAACTTGTATCTGTAATATTTTAAGACTTTATGTATGCGCGTCTCTAAAGATGATAATTTGTGAATCTCAAACGCTGACACTGTCGTTGCGGATGGCTGGGCAGGTCACGTGCATGCGCGTTCAGTGGAACTCCACTTCCAGCACTTATCTCATCACGTCTCTCCCTTCTGCTTGAGCTCTCCTGTCAACAACTACTTCGTGATACTGATCAGTTTCTAGGATCTATACTGGAGACGCGATAGCCGCCCAGAGGTTAAAATGTCATACGGATCAGCATTCCGGAACCACGGTTGCCCTCAAGATGAACTCCTTCATTGCTCTCAGCAAGTACATCAACACGCGCGACGCCTCCCCCACAGTCCTCCGAACTAAGTTTCTCGAAAGGGATGTCTATTGCAGACAGCTCGTCTTTTTCTGGTTACCCCTCCATGTGTCGCTCTCGAGCCTGTAACAGGACCTCGTGAATGCTGCAGCTGGATCATGGCGGGGAACGCGTCCTGTATAGGATTTACCAGGCAGACGGGTAACAACGTTCGGAACTTAACCCTAAGCTTCATATCTGGTCATCAAGTCTTGCGCTGTTGTCGCTCAAATCGTCTTTTATGTCGTGAAAGCGCCCGATTGTTGTGCCCACTGAAAAGTGGGAGGTTCAACTGAAGGTGCTTGGATCGACGGACAGGCGAGGAGGGCAGTCCAGTCACCTGTTGGTGCGCGAGAGGATTGGTGCCATAGGTAGTGTAAGATCCTCTGCAGGACACCTGTCAGCCCTTTCCACTGGAACCAGCACATCGGTCAACAGTAGACCGTCCATGCGTTGCGATAACCTCGAGTGTTTGGAGATGGAACTAGCCTGGCCACTTGGTCAAACTGCTGGCTTGCACATGGCACGCAGCTGAGGAGTGGGGCTTCATATTGGCCACACACAGTCAGTTTAAGAACTTCATACGACTCCTGAGTTATCGTCTGTCGGAACCGCCAGCTAGGATAATTCCAGCTGATGCAGCGGACAAATTATGGAAACAGACAGAAGTTCTTCGACCGACACCTTTCGCCAGTCTGATAGCCCCCGGCCCTCCGAAGCTGTTTATGCTATCGTGCATTACCACACTACTTCCATCCACCCAACCTCGTGGCCCTTTTTCGCTCACTGGACCACACCACAGCACTCGCTCCCGGTGTGTGACGCTCCGCGTCTGGTCTGACCCAGCGCATTAACCTCCAGCCATGGGTCACAATCCCTTGGTCAGGACGGACGCCAGCACGCCAGCAAGGGCCAATAGGTCTTAGCAGGTCCCTCGGACCGGCCGCAAGGTTGGACTTGAGATGAAAGGGTGGTTTTTATGGATGTATTTTGTCCACCCGTCAATGCCCTCCATACCTCTCGTTGGCGAGAAAGTTGGAGAGGAATCAAAAACTTGTCCTAGGGGGCAGCGCGAATCACACAGAAGGAGTTCCCGTGTCGGCGTCAGTGTGCTTCCGGATTGCGTTCTACCATGATGACCTCTCAGCAGAATCGTGTCGGCGAAGGTATAAGATCATTACAGAACTGTCAGCTTACAAGACAGTCTTCACCTTTGCAATTTTCACTGCTGCGAAACGATGCCCGTAGTTGACGTTGGAAGCAGTGCTGGGACCCATCTCGAGTTGGAGTCAAAGTTTCGTGCTTGTCTGGTACTGTGAACGACCATTCTCTGGAGCTGAAAATCTCGCCTATGAGTAGCAATGGTAAGGCTGGGTTGTGTTGTTGGATCTGGGACAGACCTTGTTGGGTGAGGTAGTCCTGGCTGTCCTCTCTCCTGAAAATGGTGTTGAGGGCAGCCCCCCGCGGTGAGGGGATAAGTCTACCCACTTCCTTTATCCAATGAATGAGTGCTAACAGCCAAACAGAAGAAGAGAATCTAGACCAGAAGCTCTAGCTCGCTGCCGTATTCGCATAACCACCACCCAAGGTAAAGTCAGATCTGATGCGTAGTAGATCCACGATTGAACCATGCCTAAACAGGGTCTGATCCCGTCTTGGATTGGCTGTCGGATCTGACGGATCGACCAAATTATTGTAGTGATGTCATGACTGCCAAGATTTCCAACGTCTGCGTTTCACCGGCATTGAAATTAGTGCACCGGAACAATTGCTGTAAACTTAATGCCTCCCTGTGACAAATGATCTGCGATGAGGCTGATTGTGTGTGTTGTCAGCAAAGCTTGTTACCATCCTGGTTGCGTTATTCAGGGCCAATGGGAATTATCCGTGACTTTTACGCCCGGTTGCTGGTGATGTCACGTAATGCAGGAACCTGCTCGCATGTCTTGGATAAATTCTAATCAAAACAAGATTGTTCTACTTATCCCTCATAAACCGTCTCCCTCGTCGCGTGTTTCTGTCTGGGCTTTCCATCTTTACGCTACACTCTCCAACCAAGGCCGAGATCACGATGCGCAAAGCTGTATTCATGGGCCTCGTGCCCGCCGTTATGGCCATCCCTGCCGCCGCTCCTGGTGCTGCACCTACAGTTTATCGTAGAGCTGCCGCTCCTGTTGCCCAGCCTACTGAGATTGTGGATCTCCAAAGGCGCAACATCATCGACGATGTTGAAACTTATGTCGGCGGTCTTGCCAGCGGTATCGAGACCAAGGTCAAGGGATGGGTCAATTCTGGCATCCTCGACTTTCCAACTGGCTTCCCTACCGGCGACGATGTTAAAAAGTCGGCAGGCGTTGACAACGATGAGTTGAAGTCGGAGCCAACTCAGGTGCTGAATATCCCGTAAGTCCATAGTACAAGAACAAACGAACCAGTGTAGTGGCTAATAACAAGACAGTCCATATGGCAATTGGACCAACAAGGGGTGGAACGTTAGAGTGCACGGCAATGTCTATAAAATCCCTGACCTGAGCCAGGAGAAGGTGGACGACCTCGCCAATGTTTTCCTTATCGACACGGAAGTCAAGGATCTTTCCAAATCCCAGCAAGCTCAGGCTCGAAATGTTACCAAATCGATCTTTGTTGTGCAGCAGGACGACGTGGAGGTCAAAATGAATTTTGTGAACAACGTGGACATTTCTCCTGATGAGAATGGCGGTGCCATCGATGCTGTGAGTATACCCATATGTGAACTTTTGTAGGACCGGTCATTGACAACGTATATAGCGAGGAGGCGCGCAAAACGTTACCATGCCATACAACACCACACTGGAAGGCGACTTTGATGCTTTCATCACGCTTAAGAACACATCTGGCCCCGACAACGGTTATCTGATTCCGGGCAATGAGACTTCAAAGATTCAGACTCTTAACGTCTATGCTGAAGGGAAGAACAACAGCGGCAACGCAACCGCCTACCTTGTCCCTCCCAAGGGCATTACTATTGTGTCAGATATCGATGATATCTTGCGAGTAACAAAGATTTACGAGCCAAAGGAAGGTCTGCTCAACACCTTTGCTCGACCCTTCACGCCATGGATGAACATGCCTAAAATCTATGCGAACTGGTCGACTTCGGTGAACGACTTGCACTTCCACTACCTCACCACTACACCTGAGCAAGTCACACGAAACTACATGAGCTTTATCTACAACACCTACCCTCTCGGCTCGTTCGATACACGTCCTCTCAACTTCTCTGACGTCTCAGCAACGCTATCCATTCGTCGATTTTTGCTTGACAAGGTCTTCCAGACATTCCCAGACCGCAAATTCATCCTCGTCGCCGATACATCCAACTCCGACGTGATGAAGGATTACCCAGCTCTGTACAAGGACTACCCGGGTCAAGTGCAGTGCATACTTCTGCGCAACACAAGCTCGACAGACAGCGGAGACAAATTTCCCTACAACACCAAGGGGTTCAAGGATATACCTCAAAAGAATTACATGTTCTTCCACGTGCCCGATGACCTTACTAATTTGGACATTGCCAACGGAGGATGTTATAATAGTTCTATCAAACAGAACGTTACTTTTGACTACCAGGGACTGCCCTTTGGTTTGAGCGATGATGATAATGCGGCTTCTGGCGGTGTTGGCCCTCGGCTGGGAATGGTTGTTGCAGGACTGATGGCCGCTGGCTTAGCGATGATGCTTTAAATGAATTGGGCAGGAATGGGGTTACTTGCGGGTTTATATGATCTTCAAATCTTAATACATTTATGATTGACGAAATGCTGAATAACTATAACCCATAACTTTTGTTCCCCGTGCCATGTGATACCGTGACAAGCGTTTGAACCTGTCTTTTCAAAAACTTGAAAGAAGTTCAAGTTGAGTAACCCCTTCTCCACTACACACGCATCGTGATACATCTTGCGATTGAAAGTTGTGAGGTCTGCTAGAGTTCCAGTATCGCCAACGTATTCTAGAGCCGGGAATAGGACGACCCAATGTGTGGTCCTTGAACCGACGGGCGTGTTTACGTCCACGACAGGCCCTCAATAGGCAATTTGCTTGGTTGGAACCAACTCCGTTCGTTGATTCTCGTGGGATAATTAAGAGGTACGTGTAGATAAATGCCCTCTGCAGGCTCTAGACTAGGTAGATAAGAAATTCGATAAAAAATAATACACAGATTACATGCTTACTCGACACGTACTAGCCATGACGCTAATCAAGCAAATAAATAGATCGTTCAAGCCAATATTTTATTATGTGTCATCACATCACGTTGTATTGAATTGTATTATAGCAAACTCAGCTGCAAGAGTCCAAAACAGAACTATATAGTAGGCGGCGATTTCCGATCTTGTGAAGATGGAATGGTCAGATGGCGTACGCATGCTCATGAT